CCATAATTCAACTACGCAGATTTCGAAAATAATATTTTTTTCTCTATCACGTAAAGATTTTTTTACAAATCGGGCAGAAAAAACTCTTACTTTGAACAAATTATTATTTCGTTTTCCACAATGAACACATATTATTATGTGTGTTTCTCATGTATTCTAGAACGATCAATAAGACTCTCATGTCGCGGTTGGTCTAGAGAAATCTATATCCACTGGTTGTCAACATTTTAAGCATAACAAAATGTGACCCGATTTCAATTAAAATGATTCACTTATGTAAAAGTAGGCATGATGTTTTGTGAAAAATCTGTACGTGATGATTTGTTTGTTTATTTTTGAATTTCGCGCAAAGCTACACGTGGGCTATCTGCGCTAGCCGTCCCTAATTTAACAGTATAAGACTAGAGGGAAGGCAGCTAGTCATCACCACCCACCGCCAACTCTTGGGCTACTCTTTTACCAACGAATAGTGGGATTGACCGTTACATTATAACGCCCCCACAGCTGAAAGGTCGAGTATGTTTGATGGGACGAGGATTCGAACCCGCGACCCTCAGATTGCGAGTCGAGCGCCCTAACCACCTGGCCCTGCCGGGCGTACGTGATGGAGAAAAATGGATATCATTTATGGATTCAGCGTATAGGAATTACCGTAGAACATGTAAAAATTTCAAGACAATAAAACCATCAGACGCCTGTGTTATTTATCTTGGTAATTGATAGATATCTGGATTGAAGAAACAGAAATTGGAAAAAAAAATTTAGTTGTCAACTCTAAGCATCGTTAGGTACCAGAGCTAAGGAATTTAAATAGGTTCAGACCTACTTACAACAGCGTAATCTGTGCTTTTCTCGTTAGTTTATTCATTAAAACACGAACTGTGTTCAATGATGTGTCTGTTTCATGGAGAAAGAAAACGATTGGATGAAAATGATTTAAACACCGTCAGTGTACATGTAGTTTTCAAAATGAACGATGTTTCTATGTTTTAAGTCTAATTAGAAACCAGTAACAAAAGGCACATTTTAGCAACCATTCAGGCAATGCTCGTAATTTATACACTAAAAGCTAAGTTGCAACAGTTTCAAGCCCGAAGTCTGACTTCTTGGTTGAAACGTGTACAGGACCAATCGTTACATCTTGGTTGACGTCCAAGAAACGTAACGATCTCAGCGTGTTAGTCACGTAAACACAGTCTAATGCCACGTAGAGAGACGACTTATCTTGAAAAAAAATGTAGTTTCTGAGTCACAAATATGTTGCCATTTCGAAATGTATGCATTAAAAACAACAACACTAAAATGAATACATTTTTGAAAGAGAGAAATAGTAAAATAATATTCAGAAACATTACAGATCATTCTAGTGTAAAATTCAATCTAAGCTTAATATGATAATTTATTATGTTACCGTATTTTT